GATCTTGGTGTAATTGTCGATCAGCCTCTAAAGCCATCCATGCAGTGTGCTGTTGCTGGTGGTAAGGCAAATATGATTTTAGGTTGTATCTACAGAAATACTGAATACAAGTATATAGAGGTTATAATTTCAATGTATAGGTCACTGGTTAGGCCACATTTGGAATATTGTGTTCAGTCTTGGACCTTAGGAAAGACGTTGAATTGTTGGAAAGGGTTCAGAGGAGGGTTATTAGAATGGTTCCTAGGATGGAGAGGCCATCATACGAGGAAAGGTTGAAATCTTAAATTGTTTTCTCTCGAAAAAAAGAAGATTTGGGGGGGGGGATCTGATTGAGGTGTTTAAGATTATAAAGGGAATTGATAGTGTTGATGCATCATCATTTTTCATACTTAACAGTGAGAACAGTAAGACTAGGGGACACAAGTATAAATTTTGGCTACACAGGAGTCATCTTCAGCTAATACAGTTTCATTTTTCAAAAAGGGTGGTTGGAATTTCATGTGGGTTGCCATTGGATATTGTGGAGGCAGTAAATGTAGGTGAGTTTAAGAGAAGGCTTGATAAATCTATGAATGATAAGGACTGGCTTCAAGATTTTTTTTAAAATTTATTTATTAGTAGTTTTTGTTTAGTTTCAAAGATGGAACAGCCAAGATAGACAAAAAGGTCCCATGTTGTTCCAAACATTATGTTATGTTAATAACATTTAATGCAACAGGCCAAAATCAAAGATCCTGGAACAGTTCTCAGCTCGTTTGTAATAATCTGGGAAAGTTATTGGCACAATGATCTAACTGATCTTGATAATGTTTGGTAGAATAAAAGCTTCCATTTAAAATTTTACAATAAAAAAGTGATAGTCACTTGACATTATATTTATTGTACCTTACAATCAGACATTTCTTACTTCTATAAAACATAAAACAAATTCATATAAACAGAAACAAACTTCAAAATGTTTCTCAATGATGGTACAACCTTTCTACTCCCTTGATAGTTTACTTCATTTTCAAAGAACCTTCTGAAATGAGAATCTTAATAAGTGCTATATAGGGCAGTATTTACTTGATACCTAGTCACGTGTGATTTTTAGAATATCAAACTCTGACAAGTCAAAATAAAATCTAGAGGACAAATTTTTTAACTCCCTTCCGTCACTGAAGACATGACAATTTTCTTCATTCTTAAACTGTACAAGCAAAATCATATTTTCATATCGCAACCATAACAAGACACCTGAATTTTGGAGTGAAGTATTATGGTTATACATCACAATCATGAAGCCAAAAGTGTTCTAGATCTTGCACTGCAAAATTTAGTAAAATAAGAATGAAGGGCTGACTCCAGACAACCACAGGGCTGTTCTCCATGCTAACAGACACAAGAAAGTTTTTCAAATTTTCATTCACTGGATAAATAATTGTTGTTGATACAATATTTCTCCAAGTGTTTAAAAAAACAGAAAATTACCGACATATATTTGATCTACATGTACCATACATCTGAAATACACCAAATTCATTTGTCTGAACTGAAACATAAGCCCAATTTCTTGAATTTTGTACACATTTTGCAAGTGGTCTCAAACCAAATTTTTTTATCCATTCCTCAATAGTAAGATTAAGAAGGTATAATTTCAGCTGGGATGATAGATTTACAAGAGATTTGAAACAATAGGTGGCTGAAATATTTTTGTGCATGTTCATTTTAGCCATATTTTGTTATTAACTGTGCAAATATATACAAGACCAACATCATCACTAATGATAGTTTCTTACTGTGTATGTAGGAATGTTATCAAGTTTCAGACTTTACCATCATTAATATCATTCTGTTACAGTAAACCAAAGACAAAAAAAAGATAATACTGCATGCATTATGCTAAAATCTAGCTTTAATTGGAATGTCTGTATTTTTCAGATGAACATAAATATGGAAAAATACATACATGTAGTATACAGATTTAACAGAAAAGATAGTGTATTTATAACAAGATTTAGCTATCATGCCCAAATGGGTGCATTCCATCTTGAGGAAAAAACTGCACCATTAAGTTTTAAATTTGATAAAAAGTAAGCTTGTAATCATTCTTCTACACATTTAAAGAAATTATATGCTTTAGAATTCTAATTTATTGAAAAAAAGTTTTATTTACTTAATTTTATGGATTAATAATTTATTTTCATCACAAATGTTGATTCTGGCTTGATTTAGGCACACTCTGAACAAAATTATTTCTTGATTTTTTTTTTCCAAGCATTTTATAACACTCATAGTTCCTTAAGGGGAAATTCATAATGGTTTAAAAAAAAAAGTGTTAATTTGACCTTGTAACATAAATATATGTGTAGTTTTATTGACTTTCAGCCAATCACTGTTCTTCAACCTCAGTTGTCATGATTTGATATAACTGACTATATATCAGCTTCAAGAAACTATTTGCTAGTGATTAGCAGAGATTACTACAAAGAGCTAAAACCTTAGCTTTATGATACATTATGAGAAGAAAAGATGTTTGTAAATAACTTCCTTTCCAATTACAGTCTTTTGACTTTTTTCTTGCTTGCTTTATAATTTTTTTTTACTTCATTTGAATTGTGGTGTCACAGCATAGAAAAAGAAATGTTTTCATGGAACAAGATGAGGTAGGCTTAGTTTAATCATTATGCTTATTGGCCTAAGTAAGTGTTTGAATGGGCTATGTAAATTGCTGAAAAAAAAAAGAGAGTAAAACAATACATATATATCAATATAGAGTGGGTTTAAAACTTAATTTATATTATCAAAACCTTCTGATTAACAATAAAAAAAAAAAACAGCTTGCTTATAACGTTGACATGATAAAAGTTTACTTTTATTCTGTGGTAGTGATTGTAAACACACACAACTAAGCAAGGTATTTTTTACACCTAAACAAATACAAAATTTGCAGGTTTATAAAATAAAAAGTTCATAGAAAAATTCTAAAAGTATGTAGAATGACAAACAATTGGTAATTAAAATCTACAACAAAGATAAGCATTAATTGCTTCTTAAAAAAACATACTGCAATGAAACCTTTTTAAAATTTCAGAGCTACGAATTCATAAAATTACATATAAAAAATATGTTTTTATTCGAAGAAGCTACATAATCTGTAGAAAATTATTCTGAAGGTTCCAAGTATTTCTTTCTGTAGTTTTTTCGCAATGCGATAAAATAAACCATACAATATATGCTTCATACTGACATACATAGGCCTAATCAAGCAAAGGCAGATTTCACTCAGTCCTATTTATTAAAGATTTCATTTGCCAGTAGAGTGAAAGTTAAAGTAACAGAACTGACTACATAAATACATACATACAACCTGTATAATTCTAGAACTGACTCATGTTGAGTAAATTGTTTTAATGATATATGCTCAATAGCCAGTCAGTTCTGACACTATAATTTATAACATATAATTAAAGTTGTTTGATTGGTCACTTTACAGATGTATCATCTTTAATAAATAACTGATTTAAACCTACTTTAAAGCCTGGTACAAATACACCATATACAGACAGACACACACACACACATCACCTAATGATTCCTATTGTTAGAATTAATGAAGAAAAATGGGTGGAGACTAACCACATAAACAGTTATTATGGTCCTTGAAACTTCTCTAAAATTAGCAACACCAATGGGGTACATAACCTGCTATATGAAAACATTTCACTAGAAGTAAATGAACTATAAACTTCTTAAGTTTTAAAAACAGCACTGCGATGAAAGAAAAGACTGAAATGATACAAACAAGAGCAATGAATGTCTTTTACTAAACACAATTAACACCTGAGAAATGAAATTTGACTGCCAAAGAAGTAGCCAGCTACGAGTTCTGGTACTAAATTAATAGCTTCCTAAGCAGTTAATTATTTTAGATAAAATGTAGTTAGAAATGAACTAATTAAGAAGAATGTATATTGAAACATGATTTACATAACGTTTAGGCCTAATACATACAAATTCCTTGCCCTATAGTTTTATCTGTGTTAACATAAATCTATGAATATAAAAAATATCTGTTAGAATGCACATCTACATAATAAACATTTTTTTACCTTTTGCACCCACACCTTCTGAAGCAGAGTAGCCTAGTTTAACAATAGCTGTCTGAAGAAGTTCAGTAAATAATGTACTGGTGGAAATTATAGCATAGCTGTCCACTTCTACCACAGTGGAACCATTGGAGGAGCTGCTAAACTGGGAAGGAGCTTGCTCCACTACACAATGTACTGGAAGAGATTTTCCTATAAAATAAGGCATTTACATTACTATACAAACAGAAAAACCTTCAAAACTATTAGGAGAGTATGCAAATATAACAAAAGAAAACAAAACAGAAAAAAAAACATTAGGCCAAATTAAAAGCATCTCTTCATCCTGCAAATACCTAAAAACATGATTTTCAAATTTAAAACTTATGGATCATTTGTAACAAGTCAGCTATGGCTGATCATATAATGCCTAGTTATTTTTTAACTTTGGTTCCAAACTTGTATACAATTCATAGATTGTCTTGCAGCATCAAACAATGATTAACAAAGGAGCTTTTATGGGAAGCACAAAGTGTAACACATTACACAATAATACACACATGCATCATGTCACAGCTTTAGCTGGAATAATGTGTGTACTTGTGGGAAAGAAAATTCTCTTCTGCATACAAGGTTTAGACATTTATTATAGTTTTAATAACACTGTGAAGTCAAAGCAAGTTTTCAGTATGTACCATAAACATACAACAACATGTGGAATGTTTAATGACATTGTACCTAATAAATATGGTACAAATCAAGAAACACTTAACTATGATAGAGAATTTTCAGAAGCAAATGACCACATGTTATTTATATAAAATGAAAATCAGTAAAGAACCAAACTTAAAATATGATGTGAGCAGCAATAAGCATTGGTGGATGTACTAAACTCTAGGTGTCTAGTCTGAGTCGTAAAAAATTCTTTGTGGTGTGTGCGTGTGTGTGTGTGTGTATTGCATATATAAATATCAAGTTATAAAGCCAAATTTATAAATTTACTACTTTTACTTAGGCATGTTTACCCAGCTTCCATTCTTGACAGTTTTCTTAAATAAATCCAATAGCATTTACTGTTTTATATTAATTTTTTAGCATGTGGCTCTTCTTCAATTTTATGCACAAAAGTCTATTTTATAGGTTTATCTGCTACAAAAATAACATCTGCTAGTGCCTACACCACATGTAATATCATGCAAATCTACAAGCATGAAAAATTTTAATCATGTGAAAAGTGGCTCACGATTATATATTATATTCACATATTATGAGTAAAATTATCAAATTTGTATCCTAAAGTTTGTTTCAATTTCCTTTGCTTTGTTAATTTTACTTTCTATATAACATTTCCATAACCAGCATTTTGCAGATACTTTTAACTATCTGGCAGATATCAATGCATCTGAATATCACAGCTGTCAAGGATCAGAGAATGCGAAGAAAGTTAAACAGTTTATCACTGGAAGTAACCCAAAAGCACCATTATCCAATACAGCTAGAGTAGGAATCTTTCTTGGAACAAGATAATTCACATGGAATTGTCTGTACAAGAGCCATGCTCACAACTTAGAAAGCACAAAGTCAAACTGAATTCTAGCACTTCAAAACTGTAATAGCAGTATCTGACAATTGATAAATGAAAGTAATCATCATGTTGGACAAATATGTCTATTTGTGTTAATACAAAACTCCAAGGAATTTGTTATCCTCCTGCTAGTGATACAACACATGAAAAATGGTACAAAACATGTCCCAGTTTTCCTAAGGGAGTTATAATGACAGCAGGTTACAGTTATAATGGTAACTTAAACACCTGGATAATAAAACAAATATAAAAAAAGCCAATATAAACTATGCAGACTACTAGGCTAATATTTTGACATGATTATACAATGGGGAATTAACAATTTAGCAAGAACTAGATGTCAAAGCAAAATGGACAGCCATATATCCAAGTCAACAAACTAGTTCTTCCATTAGATGCAAGTATAAACAGAAGTTCATGCTCTTCCACTTTCAGATATCTCCCACTTTTGCTTCTGACTTGCTCAAATGGATCCTCAGAAGCTGTTGTACAAACAAGACTGAATGACTGTAGGAAGTGTGTAAAAGAAAAGGGTACAATACTAACCTCAGTGTATTTTGTAAAAGCCTTCTGCAGTGGAAACTGCACTTAAAGAGTAGTACATAACTAAATTCATACCACAGAAGACTGCCAATGGTGGTAGAAGAATGGGCTGCAAGGCCTAGGCACTTATCCTTGTATCATTTCTAAAGATATCACTATGTATATGCTTTTACATAAAACTGAAAAAATTCAGTGCTAACTCAAACAGAAACAATGTCTAAGCAACATCCCTCGTGGTTGAGAAATGGAAAAGTCCCTGTCAAAGAGTCAATGGGGACTGTTTGCATTTTTCTTTCTCCAACTGTAATTTCTTAGAGGAATGAATACTGTATAGGGCAGGTATGTAACAAGTAACAAAGTTACATAGAAAAACGCTTGACAAGATGACACAACTAGGTCATGGTTTACATTTTTGAGATACAATTTTAAAGTGTAAGTTAACAAACAGATCTGTTATTTTAAATTAATGAAGCAACATCAAGTTTTCTTTGAATAATTTTACAAAAATGTTTATAATAAATTACATGATACCTTAAAACAAAAATATAGTTCACATATCTGATCACTAGGCTATTTCAGAGATCAAACAAAACATTGTAAGATAGAATAACAATGGTGTCACCAAATGTTATCATTACCACATTGTCATGAAACAAAATCTAAGAAATGAGATACAAGATTATTTCAAGAATGCAATAATATTGTACTGTACTCATTCTTTCTTGATCTCTCCCATGACATTCAAAAACAAGTGGGTGTCATATCATTTATATATAAAATGGGCATGATCAGCTTTACGATAACAATCCTTATGAACTTCTTTTATTGTAGCACTTACAAATAAAATGTTTTGTTCATACCGAATAATAAAAATTTTAAAATATACAAACGAAAAATAAATACCTGGTCCAAGTATTGGCATTTTGCTGTGGTGAGCTGTGTGAAAACCTTCAGACACAGTTGAAGATAGGTGGTTTGAACGACTACGAAGACCAGAAGACTCTCCATTTTCATGCCTATTTTGAACTTGCTCCCTCCTTTCAGTCAGTTCTTCAAGAGTTAGTATGTGACCATTGGAGTGTGTACTGGCCATTGCAGGTTGATTACTTAATATACTCTGCTGCAAAAACATTACCAATTTAAAACATAGGCTTAATTAAAAAGACTCATTATCACTGCAAGACTTTACTATATTTTGGGGCATTTAATAGCATGCCAAGATTAATTTCAAATATTATTCATAATACTGTCATGGTGTAAAAATCTCTGAAACAAAGAAGAGAAACACTCTACAATCACCAAAGCAAATCTGAAAGCACTGGCTTTGCTTACAGTTGTATTACAATTTCTAAGTTCCACTTATTACTTTTGTTTTGATACTTTATAAGGCGAACTGAAACTTTCCAATTTCTGGTTATAAATCGTACAAAACATAGCAAAAACTGACCAATGGCTTCACCTTTCAAAATGAACCCCCTCACTAAGAATTAACACAAATCTATCAAATAAATCTGGGTTAGATATCCATACTGGATAATACCAAGAGATCATTTAAAAATGGCAACTCTTCCCATTTGGCTTTTAATGAAAAAAATTATTGTAAAGCACAAACAATTTTCTTGCTAGAAACAATGAACTAGACAACTCCCTACTGATAAAAATGTAATATATGAAATGACATGTGCTAAGTGCTGAGAAACATGTTGATGAAACCAGTCATCTATTATATGAACATTTTAAGGAACACATTTGTGTCACTGTGAATCTTAATTTTAAAAGAGACCACTGCTAAAAACTTTCTCCTGCAAATGGTACAGTTGTTGTTCATCCTTCGAAGTTCGAAGAAGACCACGACATCATTTGGTCTATCTGTGGATACGGAGATGGCTCAGGAGTCCTATCCGAGCCAGGAAGCCTCGACCACATTCCTGGCATATATGGCTTGGTGTCCCGTTCTGAGTCGACCGCACCTGATCTTTCCGAGCTGCACCCTTCCCCTCGGCAACCAATCGACGTTTACATTCTGCTGTCACCAAACCCTGCCGGACCTTCGTTCTCCAAAGAAATCTATCCTGGGCGAGCGACTCCCAGCCTACTGCACTGCCATCGGCCTATCGCCGCAGGACTTTGGTTGATGTCGTGACGTGCGCTGGACTTGGATTATAGTGAGGAAGAGTTGCGAGAGTCGTCGACCTCACTCTCTCGTCCCTTCCCATCCTGATCCGTAATGGTACAGTAGATGAAATACCATTTACCATTAAGCATTCAGCAATATGTAACAATTTCCTTGATAAGAAATTCAAAGAGACTTTTCTGATTCAATCTTACAAATGTAAAATAAATATAAATAATTCTTAGACTTTGTAATTAGTGGGCTCTTTTTTCATTTTTACATTTGTTTGTTAGCTTGCGATTATATGTTACACAGTCATTCTAATATTTTTTGTATGTGCATTCTATAACACTTCTATCTAAAACAGTTTATAAACATTATGAATGTTCTTTTTTTTGATTTTCAGTTTGTATTGTTAGATGCTTGAGAAAGGCATAAGCTGAAACATCGGGTTTGTATAAAATTGTTTTTCAGGAGTGCGACTGTTTTTGGAAACGTAAATTATTTTTATACATTGGCTCTAGTATTTTCAAAGCCTCATTACTGATTATTCAGACCACATGCTTTAAACATCATGTAAGGGTGAAAATGAAGAGCTGTAATAACAAACAACTGACAGATAAGGAAGATGAACTATAAAAAAGTTGTTGATTTTATATTTCCAAGGAATATAGGATTTTAACAAATAGCAACCTATACTTGCAAGAACAGGAGATATATAACAAAATCAATAAATGTGTTGTTTACAAATGGAATTTCTCGAAATTTCACAGAAGTGAAAGTTAGATGACTTAATTTCTTCTTGTGAAATACATGTTATACAATATAAAAATACCAATTTTAAAACATTTTTGAATTTTGATATAGAATTAAAATTATATTTTTTACTTAAACTTTGAGAAATATAATTTGCAGATGTACATTTCACACATCAAAGGTGCACACAAGTTAAAATAGCCTAATAGTTGAAGCAGTTACATGACAGCATACAAGTTCAACTACAGCCTTGTTGTGTTCAGCTACATATAATAAAACTTTAAAAAGTAATAAAAGTGTTAAAAATATATTAAATTTAACACCACAACTTGTCAAGCTGAATTAAGTTCAAAATCTAATTTTAAGGCAGTAATGAATGGTATATTTTGACCTTTGAAGGTCAGGAACACACTAGCTTGCATAATTTACTGCTGGCACCACCATAATTACGATTATATACATGATTGAAAATCCTTTTGGTTCACATGCAATACATCACACAGAACAATAATCATGGTTTTATATTTTAAATTTTAAAAAATTCACATTGTTTATGTACGTACATATTTGATGCTACGTTTGACACATGTATAGTTGCATACAATAGCTAACGAAGCTTGCATTGCAAGAATACTGTACAGTGGTAAATTAAAATAACTGCAGGTGGATAAGCAAAACATATCTTTATTTAATAATCACCACTCCACACAGGTTAACAATCACAGTCTTAACGACATAAAATTGTTGATTAATAAACTAATAAACATAATAATAATAAAAACACAGTGAAACAGGACATAGTAGAACTAAGTTTGATTAGAAAATATAGACCTCTAATTGCAAAAAGAAATTACAAGAGATAATGTTATTATGAGTCAATGTTTTAACAAAATTTTTGATTAATTAAGTATATGCTTTGGGGAGGAGAGTGGGGGTGTAGGGTTACAATGTTTCTCCTTTTTATATATTAAAATTATTAGTGTTAGCATACATTTTATGTTTCATACTTATTTTACCATATCACTTCTCTATGTTTTTACACTAGGCATAACTACACATATAACTATAATGTTTTGATGGTGTGTGTGTTTTCTTTTTAATACAACTACTTTTAATTAATGGGCATTATACGAGTCAAAAGATCAAATTTTAGATGTGAATGACATTTAATGTGTGATAACTATTCAAACATTGTCAAACAGTTTCTGTTAACGAGAGAAAGACAAACAAACTGAAACTGCTTAAATGACACCTGATAAACCTTCAAATGTTTAAAACTATCTTTGAATTCCTAGATAGTGAACAATTATTTGAAAATAGCCCCATGAACTTCCAAATTCAAAATCAATATGACTCCAAACAAAAAAATTATAATCATAAGTTTGGAAATCACAAAATGCCCCAAGGATGGTGCTGAATAATACAAATTCTTTAATACATAATAACAAACATGTCATATTTAGTTAAAATATGGTAAAACCTAACTACAAGTGAATACCTCACATAAATATTCATACAGAAATTTTATAATGAAAAAGGTGCCCTAATGGAGAATAAATTAAATCTTTAAATGCATGTTCAACACACAAAAATAAAAAGCATATCCTATAACATAGAATGATCACACACACAAATTACAGAATAGCCAAACTTCACACCATTAAAACCCAAAGGAAGCTTTACATCAAAACACTGAGTGTCTAATTTGGTGTTAGAAGATCGTATATTACTAGCGAAGTAATTGTAAACAGAAATAATTAAGAATTCAAAAAAATAAAAATCATGTTAAGTAAAACACCATAACACCAACATTTATTATTATTAATTAGAACTTCTGAGTGAAAGTAAAGAAGAGTATATAATACTGTATGTCAACCACACTACAAGCATATCTACAATATTCGATGTCAACAAGGCATTTCATCCAATACCAGGACTCTTTGGGCTGGCTGTGATACAACAGACAGAACAATGGTTGAGAAGCTATATATATCAGCAAACTGCCTGACAATAGCTGATACAATGTGAAATGGACTAAGTTAGTGATGGAGATGCCTCACTACATCTCAAACAAGATGTTACAATAGAATTAAGTGATATTACAAGATGGTTAACTCTTCTTGTTAAAAGTAGGCAAAAAGAAGCAAAAACTTAATAATCCCAGTGGAGTTATTGTAAAAGTTAATTTCAAAGCAAATACGTATAAATATAAAAAAGACAGCAGTGTATTAAGATAAAGTGTAAGAGATACACCTACTACAGTACTAGATATGACACTGCATACAATCACAAGCTTGTAGTAAAATTCAGAAATGAGAAACAAAACAGTATTATACTAGAACAATTTTAAACAGAACAGGCCTTTCACTAGTATTGGCAGAGGATTCTTTACACTTCAGCCTCAGCTATTTAAGTCTTTTGTTTGTTTTTTTCTACATTTTAATTTTCTTCACTGCTCAGAGGTTGCATTTGACACCTAGTACTCTTCATCACTCAAAATGTGCCAGGAAAGATGCCAGCTACAAATGAGTTTTTATTTTAATAGCAATTTGGATCTCATTGCTGTCATTAGTCATCACATAGGTGCTGGCTGTTTTAGTCATCTCACCTCATGCAGCCTTGTCAACTACTTCCACCATCTTTAAAAAAGGGACTATGGCCTATGTTGATAGAATTTCAACAATAGTAGAGCCATCACTTTAAGTTTTGGACATCTACTGTAAAAGAATGGAAATCTTGGCCCTTTGAAGAAGGATGTGACCTCCTTGGGAGATGTTGCACTCCCCATCATCAGACAAAGTGGTCTTCCACCATGGTCAAACAATGAGGCAGGAATTTATAAAGTTTCAAAAACATTATTTAGTAAAATCATGAATGACAAGACTTCTATAAATACTGCACTGCAAAGCTACTGTTGGACTATCAAGAGTCACCTTCTCTCAACTGGAAGAATGACATTTTATAATCCCTCTTTGATTTTTACAAACATTCAATTCTTCTTAACACTTCTAAACTTTTCCATGAATTTCATAATTACCATGGATAAGAGTTACCATAGAAATTATATGCTACTTAGTCTTACTTCTGTTATAGGAAAAATTATGAGTCTTATATGATAAGGAAAATAATTATGGATTCATCTAATATTGCTTTACCAACATTATATTTTGTCAAAAAAGGAGGAGGAGTACAAAAAGCAGGGACAGACCTAAAGGAAGAGCTTGCACAGCCCAAGAGTCATCAGTGAAGGGATATTTTAGGTGTGCAAAAATGGGGTGAGGGAAAGAGAGGTAGGCACCAAAGGTTCCAGAGTTTTAACAATATTATAGGTATAGAAATTTATATGTTTTTTTGCATTACTTTGGAGGCCCACAATATGAGAAGCCTGTCGGTGCACTGCCCCAACTGCAACAACATTAAATATGCCACTTTATATGGACAACAAGGGACCATTTAGTCCTTCAAGGCTGTCCTTGCAACACAGTTTACAATCATCCAAACATTTAAGGATAACCAGTAAAACAAAAAGTCACATTTTAACAATGCCTGAAAGCCATAAATAGCAAAAATATATTTCTTTTAATGATATCGGTAAAAGAAAAATTTTAATGTTGACAACACAACTCCTTTCACACCCACCCATCAGGATATTACCGATTACCCCCTTTGAAACTCTTGTAAAGTGCTGGCCTCCACTACTTCTGTTGACAATTCATTCCATAAGAAAATAACCAAATAATCATGTTATAAAAATGTCTTAACTGGCACCTAGTCTTTTCCAAGTCTTAAATTTGTGTCCTCTCAGTCTCACCCTATCATCTTGAGAATGTAGTGTAAATAAACCAGACACTTATCCAATTTATATCTCCCAAATAATCTTGTAAACTTAAAAAATCAAAATACAATGAGAACATGTTTTACCCTTGTTTTCTCAAGAGAAAATAATGTTTACTAGGAATAGTTGGATAATTTGGATTAATACAGTAAAAAATAATGAATATAGATACAGTTTATTAGTATTAAAATTTAAAAGGTATAACTATGCTTACAGCACAAATAAAATATAAGTTCCCCAAAACTGTTACTTTAAATTGAAATCCAATTATCTAAGTACAGATCTTATAACAATAACTTGCAAGTTAGTCATACTCAAGGTTCTCACCTATCCTATGTAAAATTACAAGCATAACTTGTATTTATAAGCTCGCTTATAATGGTATATAGGCCAGAATGTAGTAGTAGTATAGTGCAGAGCCTAGTTAATACTTAATTATAATAGTTACAAGTTCACCATGTTCCTGCACTCAGGCTGCAGCAGTTTATACTATTACCATTAGTAATGGTAATACTGTAACTTGCGTTTCTAATTCAACACATTTGCACGGATTATAATAGAAATACATCGTCTGTCTCCAGCTTTGTGACATCTATTATATTATATATATATATATTAATGCTTATTAGCATTATTAATGCAATATTGTTTTTGTTTCTATACTACTGTTAATGTGTTATTTATTGAGTGTTTATAGGTCTAAAAAAGGTTGAAATATTGCGCGTAAGTAGTTTTTCTGCAGTTATTCTTATTATATGTTGTAAGGTTTTAGAAACAATAAATTATAAAATCATTCTTACCTCCATAGTACTATTACTAGTATTAGTAGTACTAAACCTACTACGACTAGTTACTTCTAATTCTAACTAGGTTAGTCTTATCATTCACAGGCATACGATTATTATAATTTTAACATGACGAAGTCACAAAGGCTTTTATCGTTTTCATACCTTTGAAGGCACGTTCACCTCTCTGACGTACACGGCAAAAAATAAATTAATATAATAAATCGTATTTTCGAAATAAGGAAATTTTTTGGTTGTTTTTATGGAATTCAATTTTAGAACATTGTAAAACTAAAGTTTTTTTTTACAACAGTAACCAGTTAATAAAATTGCATGTAATATGTAATTTGTAAACAACGAACATCAACATATCACTTTCGTACCTGACCTAGAAACCTATTGTAATGCGTTTAAAGTAGGAAAGTATATACACGACGAACATTAAAAGAAACATTGTACCTATGCATATTACAATCAAGAAGTTAATAAATATAAATAGCTCTTCGACCACTCCTATGTCTTTTTTATCCCAGCTGGCCGATGAGTCCTGGTAATGTGTTAATGGTAGAAATATTTCATTAGCACTGGATATGGCAAATATGTAGTTGACATATTATTATATATTCTTCTTTGGTTTCACTCATAAGCTCTTAAATTTGCATCTCGTACATTCCTTTGGTGATTTGCTTATAAAAATGGTCTAACGAACATCTCCACTCAAATATTGCAAAGTTTATTTAGTTGTATTGTTGTTATATTATTGTGCCATGCGTTTCTATCACCTTATATTAATGTAGTAGCAGTATTCTGAATTTATCATTTATTCTTTATAAGTACAATTTTCACATAACATGTGGCCGAGAAAGTATGTAAGTTTGTCGCTAGCTGCCCAACGGAGTAGCTAGTGCCTTTGTTCCTTTGTTATTATCTGGAGATAACACCTGTTCTGCCCAAGCCCATGGACATGCGTTGTAAAGCTTATTGGTTAGTTTCACCTGTGCAACTAGTGAACTGATGTTCCCTAACAGAGTTAACTGATGTCGGCCAAATCGACCACAGGAAAAGTGGAGTATGCGAGTGTATGTGGGAAAGGACGTTATAGTATCTCCATGTATATAAGTGGTGTTCTGTGGTTTACTACAGACAAAGTCTATAATGTTGGTGCAGAGTAATATAGCTATAAACTCCACACATGAAAAAAGCTCTTTCCTGTCGAAAAAAACAAGTAGCTCAGGAAGTTGTGTGCAAAACATGAATAACTCAGATTGAGGAGAATACCATGCACACTATAACTTATGATACTTCTATGAGCAATTACATTTGCAGAAAGATGTGATGTGCTGTTGTTGGAAACCGCCAAGCAATGGTTCCCAGCCTGTGTTACAGCTAGTGGTCCCTAGAGTTTTGAAGCATGAGATTCTCCAGAATTTGTATAACACAAAGTCTGGAGGGCACCAAAGTATTACATGCACTTTTGATAATGTTCAATTGCTATTCTTCTGGCTGTATTCAGAGTGTCAAGCATATACTTGTTAAGATTGTTAATCCGAACCGAATTGACTTGGAAAACTTATCCTACATCATGATGACATACCATTCAACTGACCAATGTTGCGTATTAGAATTTCAAATTGAATTAACTGATAATTTAAATTTAGTAATTAAATTATACTTTGGATTTAGTATTTAAATATATGCCGATATATGATGTTTGCCAACAAGATTGATACACACAGTTTTCTTTTATACAAATACGTTTTAATATACACACAACAATACAATTTACAATATCCGTTATTACACATAGTTTTTACAGACAATGATTTATAAACAAAAGTTTCACATACTTACAAGCAGTATAAAATTCTTCTTTCTAATCCAGAACTTCTTCGATATTTTATCGAGGGTTCACGAAGAGCGAGTTGATTACGAGTTGACGGAGACATATTTCACTTAACGGGAAGCTAGCTAGCTTTATCCTTTGCCACACACGCCAAGTTTTTCACCGTTGAAGTTAGATAATGTTTTCGTAAAAGTACTAATGTCCGATGAGAATCCACTGAAGTTAAATGAGTTGTAATATTTGAACTTTATAAGTGCTCCTGGTCAAATATCTGAAGTTTTCCGATTGATAAGCGTTATAACAATCACAGTTATAGCTTCCAAAATTTATAGCACACTGACTATAGCAAAGTAATAATAGATACTCTCCTTGGCGCGTTGCGTTGGTTGTATTTATAGCCGTAGGAAGGTTTTCTAGAAATTTCAGATTACGTAACAATACAATTTAAGTGTTTATTTACACACATATATTGTTGATTCTTACTCTCGAGAATCTTCGACAACTTTGGAGAATAGGCGGGAGTTTCGCAATACATATCTAAAAGTATAAGCCATGTATGCTTCTAAATATAATTTTAATCGAAACAAACGTTCATATTAAAATATATATAACAATATATTCGTTACACCAAAGATCAACATGTTGTCTGCTGAATATGCTCATGTACGCATAAAATTTGATTCTTCACTTGTAGCAGACATCTCACAATGTTCACAATAATATGTGGAGTGGTTAATTGTCTGCTCTTACTAAAATTGGGAAGTGAGTAATGTAAGCAGGCATTCCACTCTCTATAGCTTACTTTAATTAATAGAGGCTCGAATGCTGACATATATTAATGATAAGAGAATGAGCTCCTATTGAATACTGACTCAAATGATAGTGGAATCAGAGCAGAATTATTGCTGTTTCTAGATGGAATACAACATGTACTTGCATATGTTAGCTATTGCTCACAGCTCCCCAGTACAAACATTGTACAACAAAGGAAACGCTGCTTCCTAAAATAATATCAACAATACTTGTATGACAAGAAGTTCACTATTTGAGTGGACCATGCTTTACTGAAATGGCTAATAAACTTTATACATCTGGAAATAATGATAGCACATTAGATAAAAATATTGCAATAAAATTGACTTTGTCATAGTGTACCATTAGAGCCAGAAATATGAAAATGTGGATGTATTGTATCACTGTATGGTGAGACCGTGTGAGAGCTGAAACAATTTCTTCACTGGCTACATCAAACCACACACCCACACCAGAAGCTCTAGGAACAACAGTTGAAAGTCCAAGGTCTAGCATAATTGCTGTTTGTCATGCAGCAAGGCAAAGCTTGGCTGGCAAAGATAGAGGAACATAGCCTGTATGCACCTAACCTACAGTCAGTTACAAGTGCAAGAAGGCGTGCTGTACTGTATTTTATCAACTAAAAGGTCTTGGTTCTTAGAATGTTTTGAATCTGCTGGTTTCTATAATTTAAAAGGAAAAAAGAATTCCAGGCTTTGCATGAAAAAATACCAAGGACATCAAAGTGTTACCCACCATTGTGCTAACATGCAAGGGTGGTTTTTCTGACCTCATTTGAGTCAAATTTTAAGTGCTGGTGTCAATATAAAATATAGTTGAATGGATGGCAAATGCCTGTGGTAAAAACACAAGTGTTGAGGACGACGTTTTGAAAGTATTCTGCCTTTTGTTTTCAGGTCAGTGTGTGTATGGTGTTGTCGATCTTTATAGTATGCTGGTGGATTGTGGAGGGCGTGTTATGATTGGTTGTTTTATCCCTGTTTCTGACTGGTAGAGATACTTCCTGTAGATTCAACCAATGGTAGACACAGGTTGCTCACCTCTAATCCCGAATCTCTGTTTAGTGACGGTTTTATTGTGTTAATGTAAAATAATTCTTTCATTTTTCTTGTATTACAAAATTTGTCTGTGTCGAATATTCTAGATTTTTCTCAGTTTATTCTGTGTCCAGTTGACATGGTGTGTTCTTCAATGGCTGAATTTTGTGTTTTCATGAGTCTCGTACTGTTTTTATGTTCTTTTATTCTTGTCACGAATCTCCTTCCCGTTTCTCCAATGTATGTTTTGTTCCAGAAAAACTAGAATTTACAGAGAATAGCCCTGACTAGCACTGGTCCTCACACAGAAACTGTATGAGGTAATCATTATGTGCTGGTCGTTATTTATTACTACCATTACTACATTAAGTGGACTGACTCTCATCTATAAAAAACACAGTACACCACTTGTGTGCATGAAGGTATAGCAGTTCTATTTGTACCATAAACTCATGCAATGCGCTGTTCATGGGCCTGGTCTTGCCAACATTAGGTTATTAGCACAGAATCTAAGTTCACCTGATGCACATGCAAAATGGACCAACAATTTCCATGGTATGTCCATTCTGATGCTGCCAGTGTCAGAACTGTGGTCAGAGACAACTGTTTTTGTTCTATCATTGACCCCTCCTACATTTAGATGGAGTCATGCCTCTCCATTCACATTTTTTTTTCTGTCACAATTTGCCAGAATAAAGTCAATGTTGGCTGTAGTAGTGCTTTCACTGAAAGTGCTTCATGTATGGCAAGATAAATCAGAAAGCTTATATCTCACCCTTGATTTAAACGTGTTGTGACGGATTTATTATTATATATTTATTTGAATATCAATGTTTGTTTAAATTTAATTTATATTTAGAAATGTACATAAATTATACTGTTAAATACGTATTGCAAAACTCCCGTCTGTTCTCTAAAGTTGTAAAAGATTCTCGAGTGTGAGAATCAACAATATATATGTGTACATAAACGCTAATATAGCTTTTTATTGCTACCTGTTACGTATTAGCTTCTTGTGCTTTACCAGTCACTACTCTTTGTAATAATAATAATAATAATAATGGGCCATTCCATGGTTTAGGCAACCTTCTCAAAATGTTGGAAATATTTATCAACTTTATTTTCATTGAACAGTGGTACTTTAACATATCGATTAAGTTCTAAGTTGTCATTTTGCCTTGGTCGATCAGTGTTGAGTCTAATTTTCATTTCTTTCAGCCTAATTTCTTATTCGGCTTTAATGCGAGCTTGTTCTTTTTCGGCTTCGATTTGAGCTTGTTCTTTCTCTTTCTCGGCTTCCATTCGAGCTTGTTCTTTCTCGGCTTCAATTCGAGCTTGTTCTTTCTCGGCTTTAATACGAGTTTGTTCGAGCTCGAGTTGTTTGTGTTTTAGCTGGATCTCTAATTTATCTTTATCATTTAACCCCGATTGGCTAGTAGGGACACTAGAGTATTTCTCTAAT